AAATTATGAGTATATAATTATAAATATATAAATATATAAGTACTCATACACACAATGATATTTTCAAATGCTATGTTTTCGGTAAAAATTAATTATTTAACATATTGTAACTACTKCCATTATTACTAATAATAAAAAAATAATTACAATTTACAGTTATAATATCATAAAACATTAGTTGGTGCTTTAGTACTTAGAACATACATATAGTGCGAGAGAATTGCAATGTTTGGGTGGAGAATATCCCAACGGATGTGACATAGTATGTGGTAACGCTTGAGGACTTGAGGTGTCCCATAGCATTCCATGGTCGTGTTAACAGAATATTGAAGTTTTGTGTGGTTGAGGGGGCGTCAGTCGCTTCTGCCAAAAATCTTGATTTTTGTTTCCGACAAATCTGTTTCTACCTACTTGTATTGAATCATAGTTTGGGAACCATTTAGAGATATCATGGATCCACTATACGAGGAGGCGATTCTCATTGATCCCCAAAACATTTTTTGGCTTAATATTTTGATAAAATTTTCAAAAATTTGAATTTGAACTAAATTGAGTTGATTATAATTAAATTATTATATTTAATAAATATATAGTCAAATATTTCTGAGRATACCATAAATTATTTATTACTTCGAATAATCGTAGCATATACCTTTTTAAAGGCTTATTTAGAACGATACGTTGTTATGGACATTGGAAATTAAAGATTTTTAAAATTTATTAATGTGTGAATCTGTGATTAAAATATGCGTGAAATTATTCTGATCTTGATAACACAGACATTATCTCACGTGATGTAAATTAGTTCGATTTATATTTATTTAACTATATTTATAATAGGTAGGCATTATTATTTATTATACTACGTGTAAAATCAATTATATTTTCAATATCAAATAGTTTATCACGATTCCCGACTTACATCGGTGATCGATAGCACTGCAGATAGACTATACATTTTATATAGACTTTAGTATTATAGAGGTTCTCCTACTTCATCTCAACAATATAAGTAGAAATAGATTCGGGGGAAACGATCCTTGGCGGAAACAAAAATCACATTTTTGGCGGAAATGATGACAGACCGGCTGAGGGAGGTTTAATACAGGTCACCAAACTACTTGCATAATAATATTATTTATTCTGTAAAATATTGTTCMTGGTTTTTAGCTTTTTGTTTTTTTTTTTTAATATTCACTCATAGTAATTAGCAATACACGCTAATCCTATAGTTTTATCCAAATTAATATTGTCTTTATATTACTCATAAATATCTTAACTTTTTTTGAAAATATTTTCTCACACAATTTGTTTTAAAACAATATTTTTGAAAAAAACTTTTGTTTTTAATATTTTTTATCCTTATAATTTTAAAAGTTTTTTCCTTTTTAAATGACACCATACATTTTTTTTTATTTCTTACTCTGATGCAGAATATTATTTGGAGTATTTCTATCTATAAAAATCAAATTACGGACGAGTAGTTTGTTACCTAATTTTGAAGCAAGTTTGGTTGAGGGGAGTTGTAGAGTTTATGTATACATAGGCACTCCGTAAAATCTGTTAACAATATTACTCCGCTAATATAAACTTTAAATACCTATAAAGTTATAACTTATGATTTATGAATTACTTCTCGGAAATTTGATTTGCATTCATTGAAATTCACCGAATAATATTCTACTATAAAGAATATGTAATAAACAATGTTTGATATCATTCAAAAAAGTAAAAAAAAATTGTTTTGGAATTATTATAATATAAAATGACGCAAAAAAGAATATTTTCTAAAGAATTTTAATTTTTCGAAATAATGAGTGCAGACTGTAGAAACTTAAATGTATCACTTATTAGATAAATAAATATAAATATATATAACAGTATGGTTTTAATTTGGTCTACATAGCGGATGGGAGTCTGCCTCTGCTTCTCTTTTCATCGACTTTTCCTTGGATAGTGTCTTTAGTTGTCATAATCCATTCTCCGTATATGTTAAAGAGTAAT